AAGAGATAGTAAAATAACCTGGCTATAAACTATGTTCATCCCTTTGGGGAAGCGGAGTCAGAATGACTGCACAGCAAAGAGTATGGCCTCTGAGAAGTGACATAAGAAGCAGTACAGCTAGGGAAAACAGACTTCACTAAACTAGGCCAGCCAAGTCACTAAACAAATCAATAAATATTAACAATGAGCCCCAGAGGGGGAATCAGTATTCAAACATGCTCCAATATATCATTTAAAATGTCCAATTTTCAACAAAAAATTATGAGACATGCAAAGAAACAGGACTGTATGACCCATATGCAGGAAGAAAAGCAGGCAGCAGGAACTGACTTTCGAAAGGTCCAGATGTTGAACTTAGCAGACCCAGATTTCAAAGCAGCTATTTTAAATGTTCAAACAACTAAAGGAAACCGCACAAAGAAGGAAGGTCTGATGACGCTGTCTCAGCAAATATAGACTCTCAATAAAGAAGGCGGTGGGATAACACATTCGATGTGATGAAAGAAAATATCCAAGAATCTAATATCCAGCAAAACTATCTTTCAGAACTGAAAGGAAAATTAATTCCCAGATAAACAAAAGCTGAGAAAATCTGTGGCCACTGAAACCATTTTACAAAACTGCTGAGAGAAGTTTCTTCAGGCTGAATGCAAGTGACGCCAGATAGTAATGCGAATCCAAATGAAAAACAAAGTCCACTGGTAAAAGTAATTGCATAACTATAAAAAGCACTATAAAAAGACGTTTTTCTTCTCTCTTGTCTTAACTTTTAAAAAGCAATTGTATAAAACTACATATAGTTTTTTTTTAAATACCTGATGGATATCTACAGAGCATTCTACCAACCCAAGAATAATACACATTCTCGTAAAGCACATATGGCACTTTCTCCAGGACAGACCATCTGCTAGGCAACAACGCAAACTTCATAGAAATTTCAAATATCTTAAAGTCACACAAAGTATGTATTCTGACCACAGCGGAATCAGATTAGAATCAATAAGAGAATAAAGTTAGGGAAATGCACAAATATGTGGATATTAAATAACAGACTCATAAATAAACAAGGGTCAAAAAATAAATCACACTGAAAATCAGAAAATACTTTGAGTGGAACAAAAAGAAAAAGGCGACAGGCCATGACTCACAGGATGCTGCTTCGGCGGTGCGCTATGGTTCGAATGCAGCCCTACCGAAGTCACATGTTAAAATCCTAACCCCAAAAGGTGAAGGTATTTATTAGGAGGTGGAGACTTTCAGAGGTGCTGAAGTCATGGGGCAGAGCCCTCATGAATGGGACCTGAGCCTTTTTAAAAGAGGTCCCTAGCTCTTTCTACCATGCAAGGACACAGAAAGAAGGTACCAGCTGTGAGCCAGGAAGAGGGCCCTTACCAGAGTATGTGACCATGCTGGCACCTTGATTTTGAACTTCCAGCCTCAAGGACTGTGAAAAATAAATTCCTGTAGTTTATAAGCTACCCAGTCTGTGGTATTAAGTTATACTATCTCAAAAGGACTACTACACACAGCTTAGAGGGAAATTTATAGCTATAAAAGCTGATATTACAAAAAGAAGAAATATCTCAAATCAATAACCAACCTCCACCTTAAGAAACTGGAAAAAGGAGAGCAAACTAAACTTTAAGCAATGAGAAAGAAGAAAACAATAAAGATTACAGAGTGGGACTTAATGAAATAGAGACTAGAAACATCATAGGATAAAAAATAAAACCAAAATCTAGTTCTTGAAAAAGATCAACAAGGTTGATAACCTTCTGTATAAAGTGACCAAGAGAAAAAGAGAAAAGACACAAATGACTAAAATTAGGAGTGAAAGAGAGGGCATCATTACCGACCTTACAGAAATAAAAAGGATGACTGTAAGGGAATAATATGAACAGCTGTAAACTAACAAATTAAGATAACTTGGATGGTAATGGACACATTTCCAGAAACATAAACTACTAAAACTGTCTCAAAAAGAAATAGAAAATCTGGAAGGAAGGAAAGAATTCTCTAAAGAGAATCAAAAAGAACTGCTTCAGGGAAGGCAAACACACCAAATAGCACACTGAACTCTTGTGTTTTATTTGAAGGTTGCACATTACCTGCTCAAAAGGCGTTGATGCAAAAAAGTAATGTTGGACTCCTACCTCATACCACACACAAAAATGGATCACGGACCTAAATGTAAGAACTACAGATATAAAACTCTTAGAAGAAAACACAGCGGTGAATCTTCGTGACCGTGGATTAGGCATCGATCTTAGACATGATACCAAAAACACACGCAACAACATAATGGGAGAAAGTAATTGCAAATTGTATCTGATAAGAGTATAGTATCAAAAATATACAAGAACTATTAAAACTCAATAATAAAAAGACAAATAACCTTATAAAAACGGGCCAAAAATCTGAATAGACATTTTCCAAAGAAGATTTATACATGGCAAATAAGCACACGAGAAGATGCTCAACATCTTCTGTGTCATTAGTCATTAGGGCAATGCAAATCAAAACTGCAATGAGATAGCGATTCATACTAACCAGGCTGGCCATAACGCAAAGGACATAATGGCAAGCAGTGGTAAGGAGGTAGAGACGGTAGAACTGCTGATGGGGATGTAATATAGTGCAGCTGCTTTGGAAAACAGTCTGGCAGTTCCTCAAATGGTTAAACACAGAGTTACCATACAGCCCAGCAATTCCACTTCTAAGTATATACTCGAGAGAAATGAAAACACACATTCACACAAAATTTGTACATGCAGCATTATTGATAATATCTGAAAACTGGAAAACCCCCAATATCCATCAATGGACGAATGGATAAACAAATGCGGTATGTTCAGACAATGGAATATTGTTCAGCCACAAAAAGGAACGAAGTACTGATCCAAGCTACAACACGGAGAATGTAGAAAACATTACTGAAAAACTACAAAAGGGGTCAATCGCAAAAGACTATAGATCATGTGATGACATTTACTTGAAATATCCAGAACAGGCAAATCTAAAGAGACAGAAGTAGATGAGTGCTTGCCTAGGGCTGGTGGTAGAGATGGCGAGTCACTGTTCGTTGGTGAGGGATTTTTAGAGTGAGGAGAAAGTTGTAAAATTAGATCATGTCGATAGTTGCACAACTCTGTGCATATTCTAAAAACCATTAAAATGTATACTTTATTTTTTTTTAATTAAGTTTACTGGGGTAACATTTAAAATGTACTCTTTAAATGGGTGAATTATAAGGTATGTGAATTACATCTCAATAAATCTGTTAAAAATAATCTAGGACAGGGGACAGGATACTTTTCTAGAATAGGCCAGACAATAAATATCTTAGGCTTTGCCAGCCACGTAAACTCTCACATGTTTTTTCTTTTATTTTATCACCTTTTACAGATGTAAAAACCATTCTTAACCCTCAGGGCACAGAAAAACAGGCCATGGACATGACTTGGCTAGTGAGTACTTTATCCACCCCTGTACTAGAAAAATATGTGGTTTCTTGCTAATTTATATTACTTTTAAAGCATCCCTTGCTTCCTCTTGACTCATACTCAGGAGAGTAGAGACAACGTTGACAGGATTATGCAGTCTATCTGTAGTCTCTCATCATCTACTTATTTGGAAATACTCCAATTTATGAGGATTTAGGGAACAAGGAACTGATGTGATGTGGTCAACAGAATTCAACAAGTCCTCATTAGAGAGACAGAACATGATTCATAGGGACAAGACTTAGATGGTAAAAGGCAGAAGTACATTTTCAATTATCTAAATAGACATCTTTTGAAAAGCAAAGAAGATTATAGAAGGGCTACTAGGTTAGAGTGTTCTTAGGCAACGTAAGGGTGTGCAAGAGAAAGAACACGAGGGAAAAAAAAACAGTTTTTAGAAACAAACAAAATAATTAAGGATGGCACATAAGAGTTTGTGAAATTTCCCTCACGTCAATTTGATCTCTAATCACTGACACAGAAAATCTATGTCGGGACTACCGATTTAAAAGGAAAACTTTTAAAAAGTTAAAACTATGCAAAAACAAGATGCTACTAATATTTTTTTAGTAAACCAAAAAAATCTTATCGAGAATAAAATTACATTTGCCCTCCTTACCTGTTAAGAAGCAAAATACCTGTTTTTGGTTTTGCTCTGGGGCACACAAATTCTTTTCTCATCTTTTTTTTACAATGGAAAGGTTTCTAAAAAGAGGCCCCTTTACTCCTCGGGGATAAGGACTTTGTCTTCTTTATCCCAAGGACTTAGCATAGACCTTGGTACTCATATTTTTTGAGTTGAACTCAAGAAGGGAAGAGAAAGGAAAGAAAATGCATCGGTAGAGACCTGTGAGAGTTTCGTTCCGAATCTGAAGGATCGCATTAAAGAAGAGATTAACAGGAGAAAATGAACAGCGAGAAGGATTTCATACTAACTGGAAAGAAAAGCAACTGCTAAGTATAGGAAATTGGGAAGGTATTTTGGTTTGTTTTCTGTCTAGGTACAAGAAAAAAGTAGCAAGATCTAGATCTTACAATCATACAAAAATGCTGGTGGTCCAACTTGGAGACAGTTTTCTTAGCTTGAAAGAAGGTAAGAACTAAAGGCAAACCGATATTCTGGCATACGGGAGACTGAGATGGTGATGTTGGTTTCTACCCAAAGGGTAAGGTTTAAGCTCAGAGTGGAATCCAGGCAAAGGTAGGAATTCTGTCTTCTTGTTGTTACGATTGAGTTAATGATAAAATATTGAAGGATGAGGGCCAAAGAGAGTAAATGCAACTGAGTGAAGAACAACAAACCACGTAAATAATTTCTGATGGCTTTCAGAGCTGTGGAAGTGGACGAGTTCTTCCTTAGAGAATGTGTGAAAGGAAACAAAAGAGAAAATAACTCCTATGGACCACAGATGATCAGAGGGAGGTAATGCAGATAAAAACAGTATTTAAAAACAG